GACAAGGTGAGAGTTTGTCGTGTGACCTTTTTAACATCCTGCGGGAAAAGTTCATACGAGAGGCAAAGGTGAACAGAAATGGCACTCTGTACACCAAACTCGCCTACGCCGATGACATCGACATAATGGGTCGAACATTGAGAGCGGTAACAGCCACTTTTAAACAAATTGAGAAGGAGTCTGACAAAGTGGGTCTGGCAGTAAACGGCGAGAAGACCAAGCTGATGGTATCAATGCGCAAGACGTCCAGTAGACTCGGACCAACTGTGGAACTTGAAAACTACAGCTTCGAGGTAGTCAAAGATTTTATATACCTAGGTAACGCCATAAATAAAACTAATGACATCAGTTTTGAAATTCGGAGAAGGACAGTGTTGGCCAACAGATGGTAGTATGGTGTGACTAAGCAACTCAAAAGCAAAGCCACCTTCCGCCAGACCAAACATACACTCTACAAGACGCTGATACTACCCGTACTATTATATGGATCTGAAGCATTGGTTATAACGCAAACAGATGAGGCATCTCTTGGAATGTTTGAGAGAAAAATTCTCCGACATGAGCTGTACCATCTATTCTCGGACATCGGCATTGTTAGACGTATTGAGCTGCAGCGACTACGTTGGCTATGTCATGTTGTGAGAATGGATGAAGATGCCTCAGGCCGAATGGCATATAAAAGCGAACCAGCTGATACTTCACGCAGAAGGTGAAGGTCACGAATAAGATGGAAAGATCAAGTGGAAGACAACATTGCCGAATATGATCTTTCAAACTGGAAAAACTGCGCAAAGACCGACGCGCCTGGAAATCTTTTTTAAGCTCGCCTTATGGAATGAAAGTTCTGTCACAAGCCAGCAATGTAAGTAAACACGGGCACGGATTTATAAAAATCATTTTTCAAAGTCTTCCTAAGGCTTACGGGTATGTTCTGGAACTCACGGATCTGCAAAACTGCAGGTCTTCTACCCTCAAGGATGATTTTTTTGTGCATGATTTTCTGAACTTCTTGTACAAATACAAAAGTTCATCGAGAGACAGTTTATAAATGGATCACCCGCCCAAAGATCTGCTAATAATTAGAATAACCTCAAGCGGCATTTTATTTTAGAGGATAACATTCGGTATAAATGTCCTGCAGGAAAAATTCCATATATAGTAGAGCCTCAAGGGGTGCTTTATATAGATAGAAGACCCTTAGAAGTCCTCCATACATGGAAGACACTTAGGAGGTTTCCCATAGATAGCAGGTTCTCAGAAAATTTTCTATACACATAAGACCTTCAGGAGATTTTCTATAGATAGAAACCACTCAGGAGACCTTCCGGACATAGAAACCCCTTAGAAAATCCCTAATAAGGACGTTTATATACAAAAGAATCTCTGGAGGGGACCTCTATACATAGACAACCCCCTCAGGAGATTCTCTATAGATAGAAGGCCCTTAGCAGGTGCTCTAAACATAGAAATCCCTCTTGAATTCTTCTATAAATGGAAAACCAGAAGGTGGTCCACATAGGGTCCATAAAAAGTTTTTTTTTTAAACAAAACACCTCTGGAGATCTGATATAAATAGACTACCCACTGGGGACTTCTATACATAGACAACTCCCCTCTATAGATGGAAGACAAGGTGTTCTAAACATAGAAACCCCTCAGGAGTTCTTCTATATATGGAGTAGTTCCAAGGAAGTTTGTCCAAGAAGAGTTTTTATAGGCAAAATATTAAAAATAAAAATCGTATAAAAATACTCTACAACAATTTTTACGTACATATATATTTTGTTTCTTTAATCGATTACACAAAAAATATTTTTTCAATCACAAAATCAAATGTTTACAGCCTTAAAAAGAGGGCGGTGGATGGGTGTGGGGTTAAACAAAATAGCTGCCGATTTTATAAACAAAAAGTGTCTATGAATATTACAAAAAGTATTAACTTTTTGGTCTTACTTAATCAATAACGGAAAAAATTAAATAAAAAACGACAGTGTGTTTATTTTTTGTTATTGTGTTTTTTTTTTTTGTTGTTTCTTTTTCAACTCTTGCATAAATACATAATTTAGTTGAATTAAGTTTTATCATATTTTTTTCGAAATTTTTTTTATATAACTAAATAAGCTGAAATTACAGTTTGTTGTATCGCGTTTTCTTTGTTTTCTCTTAAATACATACAGTCGAAATTTTATATAAATTAATAGTAATAATAATAAAAAAATTCATAATAAAAAATAGAACATTATAAAAAAAATTATTATATATTATATAGATAGATTTTTTTCTTTTGTATGAAAGCAATTTGTAACGAGAAACAGTAAAAAAATTAAACAAAGAAAAAAATTAAATATTTTTATAAAAATAATTGATGATGATAAATATATTTATATATAAAAAAATAAGTATGTGTACATGTTGTTGTTGTTATTTTTCATGCATAATGGTAAAAGTTAGATGTTTTTGTTATTAAATATACATCAAAAAATGTGGTATTTTTGTTTTGGTTAGAGGAACTCTTTCTCTTTTTTAAAAATGTTTTTTTTTGCCTTCATAATGAATTTTATTTATTAAAAAAAAAAACATACACACACTATAATTATGAGATATTTATTAAATTAAAAAATATATATTTTATAATTAATTGTTGGTTTTTTTTCTTGTTGTGGTTAATAAAAAGCATTTTTAAATAAACAATTTGAAAATATAAAATATGGGGGGTGAGGGTTTTGAAATCAATATATATTTTTTGTTAGTTAGGCATGCACAGCATACGAAATTGTTTTTTTTTTTTTTAATATTTAGAATACACAAAAAAGCTTATGATTTTTTTTTTACAAAATAGAAAAAAATATCAAACTCCCTTTTTCTAAAAAAAAAATAAAATAGAACAATAACAAGAGGTTTATCAGCATCTCATATCAGTTTTTTTCTCAACATTAATCATTCAAATATATATAGAAAAAATAGTTTTTCTGGGGGAGGGGACTGAGAGTCCAATGTTAATATTAATATCAACAAAGCGGAGGAGAGGGTAGGGAGGCTAAAGGGGGAATAAAAAAACTCACAGCATTCTTTTTTGTATTTCTTGTAATAATTGAGGGAGAGAGAAGGAGAACCAGTTATTCAAAGGTTAGAAGACCCTGAAGCTGCAAAGGTCTATATTAGCTTTTTTCATATAAGGCTTCAACCGAAAGAAGGTCCTTAAAAAGGTCCTCAGAAGACCATGTGTACAGGAATCAAACTTAAAAGATCTTTGTAGGAAGCCTTTCATAAAAGAGAAAGGCGTTGAAAAATGTTCTGCATACTTATGGAAGACTTTCTGAACTTCTTTGTAAATCCAAAAAGGCCTTCAGAAGGTATTTTATAAATGGAATAACGCCAGGGGATGCTTGTTATTAATTAGAAGACCCTCGGCAGATATTTTATATTAAAGAAAATCCGAATCAAACATCGTAGGAAGCCTCTCATTCATGTAAAGGCTTCGAAAAATGTTCTTCATAAAACGGACGATTTTTTTATAGATGACCTTGGGAAGATCTTGAAAGCTAAAGAAATTCTGCAGGTCTTCTGGCCACAGATAATTCTCTATATATACATATGGAAGACATTCTGAACTGCTTTTAAATCCAAAAAGGCCTTCAAGAGGTATTTTATGAATGGGAATACCGTCAGGGGGCCTGTTAAAAATTAGAAGAACCTCAGGAGGTATTTTATATTAAAGAAACGCCGAATCAGACTTAAAAGATTTCGTAGAAAGCCTCTCATAATAGAAAGGCTTCGAAAAATGTTCTGCACAAAGCCTACGATTTTTTGAGAAGACCTTCGGAAGATCTGCAAAGCTAATGAGAGTCTTCAGGTCTTCTAGTACAGAAAATTCTCTATATATACCCATGGAAGACTTTCTGAACTTCTTTCAAATCCAAAAAGGCCTTAAGGAAGTATTTTAAAAAAGGGAATACCGCCAGGGGAAAAACTGTTAATAATCAGACGTAAAGGATCTCGTAGAAAGTCTCCTATAATAGAAAGGCTTCAAAAAATGTTCTGGTTGCATATCTTGTGAAGACCTTGCAGAAATTGCCGATAATAAAAAGATTTTCGGGAGGATGAGACTTTTAGAAGACTTCCATAGGTTAAGAAAAACGTACTGGTGATTGGTTCCCCTTTTCACTACGAGATCAAGAGCATCTTTTGAAAAACAAAAAAATGGAGGTTATGACTTTTTCTTCTCCTCCTCAAACAAAAAGGGGTTAGGGTCAAACCCTAAATGTTAACAAATAGTTAATTGGGAAAAATAGGAAAATGAGATGGGAGAGAGATTTAAAAAAGGAGTAGCATATAATATCACATTGAATTTAAAATGTTTTCGTTTCTATCTTTCTTTTTTTGTCTGTTTTGCAGATTATAACATCACAATTGTTTTTCTTCTTCTTCTTTTACATGGGGTTAGGTGAGCACTCACAATTTGTTTTGTTTTTTAAATTTTTTTTTCGTTATGATTTTTAAAATTTTCAAAATTTCTTGTTGTTGTTTCCTTAAAGGTAAGTATTTGATTGGAGCAAACTGTAATTTCAGCGGAATATGGGCATAGGGGGAAAAATGGAGTTTACAGGGGGAAAAGAGAGAGAGAGAGTGAGAGAGATATGCTTTATAACTTCATGGATAACCTTAAATAGTTTAACATATTTTCTTTTTTTGTTGCCTTACAGCAAAAAAACAAAAAGCAGGCAGTCGGGCAGATGGACAGGCTGGCTGGCGGGCCATTTTCTTTGCAGAGTTACATTCATTTCATCATCAACATTTGCTTGGCATTCTTCTGTTACTTTCTAGCTTGTCATCCTTTTTCTTCTTCTTCTTCTGTTTTCATTCTTTTATAGTTTATATTGGGAGGTTTTAGTTTTTAGTTGTTTTTTTTTACTTTTCAATATTTTATCGTATTTCTAACGTGATCATGATCATGCTCATCATCATCATCCTTATTGTTGTTGTTGTTGCTTTTTCTTTTTTTGACCTATGAATTATTGGCTTGCTTAAGAAACATTTTATAATCTCTTTCAGTCTCCTCATCCATTTCAGGATCTAAATCATCCAAATCATTATCATCATCATTATCGGTCGAACCGCCATTGGCCCCCGATGCTCCATTTGTTAGGAATTCACATTCTTCGGCAGTTATTTCCCGGCCATCGGGACCATAAAACACGGGATCATCACTTTGTCGTGGTGGTTCCGTTGGCTTCGATGATTCACCCTCACCCAAACCTTCACTGCCCGGAGCCTTACGTCCCCAGTTATTCTTTTGCAAGGAGATAACATTACTGGCTAATGGATATTTACCGGGATTTTCACTGTTGATACGTTCCAAACTTGCGATAATCTCCTTCATATCTTCCGGGCAATCTGTACTCAAGTCATAGCCGGCCAATTTTAGTGTCAGGCAAATGCAACGTACATTCTCGGCCACAACATGATCCAATAGTTGTTTCAACGAATAAACTATGTTTTCGGCAATTAAATAAATGCGTGTATCGTCACCCCTCAACTGCATATAGAGTTCGGCGAGGAAGAGGGCCGTCTCTCTCACCTTGCCCTGTTGATTACTTTGCATGTAGTTCTTGATCTCATCCTGATGGAAGTCCAATTTGCATTTGAGCAGCGTATGGAATAGGGAATCCTTGGAGGGATTCAGCATATGCAATAGGTTGTACAGTTTGGCGCCCATATAACGGAAATTGGGATTCTTAATGGATTCCTCGAATATATCCTCCATGGCAATGGACAGGACATAGTGATTGCTCTCCAAACCCTCGAATATGGTAATGAATCGGGTGGCAATGGTGTCAAACTGGCCGGGATTTTGATTGAGACACTGGATCACCGTCTGTAGGTAGTCCAAAGCAATATTTTGCATATCGGGAGCAGCATCAGCGGCGGCGGCCGCGGCAGCTCCACCAGCCGCTTGATTTGAGTATGGCTGATGTTGGTGCTGCTGCTGTTGGGAATAGGGTTGATTGCGTTGTTGATGATGATTGTGGTTGTGGTGATACTGATGATTATTCTGTTGATTGTTGTAGTGATGATGATTGTTGTAACGCTGCTGTTGATTGTTGTGATGATGATGATGATGATTATTGTGGTTGTTGTGATGATGGTGATGTTTGTTATTACGATGATACGATTGATTTGGTTGATAATCACCACGTTGAGGATAGAAAGTGCTATTGTTGCTGTTCGAAGTATTACCATTACCGCTGGTATTGGGACGGTTTAAACGATCCTGGACACTCATGGAACTGAACTGATGATTCAATTGCTGCTGTTGTTGTCCCTGATAACCGCCACCATAACCATTGGCATATGCTGCCGTTTGCTGATTATACGCCTGCTGTTGTTGCTGTTGAGCTAACTGCTGCTGCTGTGGATAATTTTCCTGAAGATATTGTTTTTGTATGCGTTCCAAGCGCTCCTGGGCATTATTTGCCAAATGCTGGGGCACAAATGCTGTGGCATTTATTGATAGCTTGGCATGATGATTATGCAGATCGGCGGCAGATGTTGACTGTCCGCCCGGATACTGTTGTTGCTGCTGTTCATTAGCTGCTGGTCGTCGATATATTTTGGGTGAACGCAGTGGTTTTAATTCCTCATCGGGACTATAAATGGAACGTCCAGGTGGCATATCCATGATGATGGCAAGGAATACTAAATAAAAGCAAAAAGAAAAATACTGTTAATAAAGAATTATTTAAATATTTGGTGTTGTTGGTGGTGGGGGTAAAACAAAAATGTGAAGCATCTCTGCCAGCTAATTGAACAAATTCAAAGTTGTACGTAATGGTATTTTTTGGGGTGAATTGGGGGGAGGTCGGTCGTGTGTAGGCTAGTGGTACAAACACACAAAACGCAGTATAAAAAACGAACAATAATAAATTAATAATGAAATCATACTGACCATAGTAGTGTGTGCGATTAATGATGGACGAGGCATGCCTGGGTATGTATTGTCTTAATTTGGAAGACAAGACAATATACAGTGCATCGGAAAAGTATGAAGCAGTCGGCAATTTTATTGCCTTAGAAACTATATACTCAAATGTATTATAAAATATTTATACCCAAGATCGTTGTGGAACTGGAACGCCATATAGTTTGGATAATAAGCCTTGGGCCATCGAAATTCTAACAAGTGAAAAAAGCGTTAAGTTCGGCCGGGGCGAACTTTGGATATATACTAACAGTTACTTGCACGAATATTAATATTTTTTGGGAGGGAGATTTGTTACCATATACAACTACAAAAAACCAAAGAATTTGGTTAAAACCCCGTTCAAGAACCCCAAAATATCGATAATTGGCGGTACACTTATATGGCGACTACCTGAAAAAATTGACCTATATTTATAATTTTTAGTGGAGAGATTTGCTGCCCAATGAATACTCAAAGTACTAAATTTCAGCGAATTCGGTTGAAAAACGAGCTCAAGAACCCCAAAATACCGAAAATTGGGGGACACCCTTATATGGGAGCTATGCCTAAACGTGGACCGATACGATGCGTTTACGATACGGAACAACCAGAGTCTTAATCGACCAACGACTGTCTCATCATCAAGCATTAAGGCTGCTACAACAACTCCAGCAAATAGATGTGGCCGTTGAATTTGTGGCTGATATTTTCATATTCCTCGTATTTAAACTATCACAATCGATAGTCATTTTAAAAAGTCCCCACAGATATCTACGATATATAGGTTGGGAACCTATAAATCTATAGGTTGGGAACCTATAAATCTATAGAACATTTTGTGATAAACTAGGCGGTTTATGAGGAAGAGCTGGAAACAATTGAGCATATACTCTGAAGATGTACATCGCGAAATAACAGAAGACATCGACTTTTTTGCAATATGAACATTCTCCGGAATAGACCCCAAAAAGCTATTTAGCTTTGACAAAATATCTCCAGATGATTCAGATGCTAAGCAAATGGTGGCTGTACAGCCTGAATTTCTAATGGATAGGAATCCACCTCCTAGACATGTTAGGAAAGATCTTCACGATCTAGAGAGTGGGAAGTACAAACAGGGGTGAATTGCATTCAACTTTTCTATGGAAAGATCTCCTCATGTCCCTCTGGCGGGTTATTTTCTATAGAAAACTCTCCTCCAGCCCCTCTGAAGTGTAATTTTCTGTAGAAAATCTTCTCAGGTTCCTCTGTAGAAAAATCTTCTCAGGTCACTCTGAGGAGTCTTTTTCTGTAGAAAAGTCTCCTCAGGTCACTCTGAGGAGTCTTTTTCTGTAGAAAAATCTCTTCAGGACCTTCTAAGGTGTATTTTTCTATAGAAGGTCCTTATGAGGTTTCTTTTTCTATAAAAAAAAATCTCAAGTCCCTCTAAGGTGTGTTTTCTATAGAAACATCTCAAGTTCTCGAAATGCACCCGCCACCGATAGAAGCAGAAACCAACTAGAAGGGTTTTGACAAAACTGAAAGCAGGGAGTTATGGCGGTCAAAATTCTAATTGGACTCCAATAAGGCATACCATCAGTATGACGTGTCATAATGGTCCACAAGATCACTACACTTCTTCAATTATCCCGCCAAACCCACTTGCAGAACCAGATTGCATACACAGCAGTGCACAATTTCCACACAGGTTAGGTTATATTAACATCAGTACGTTTTGTGCCTGGGGACATCTTTTGGGTCTTGGTGCACTTTTTACCTAAAATCGAACGATAATTCCGTACACTGTGCCAAATTTCGTGCAAAGCGAAGGATATATAAGGACTTTGGTACACCATCTCGTTTCCTTTTGCATTTTACAAACATGTGCACAAAGACATAATACCCTGTACCACAGTGTGGTGAAGGGTATAAAAAGTCATATTTAAAAACTCATTTCCAGACATCTAAAATAGATTTGTATATTGAGGCTGGCTGTTTTTATGTCACCTATACGGAGTACTACTATTTTCGTATATAGAGACTTGTTTTTAGTCGACCATAAAGACATTTTTCCTAACGTCTAAAAAGGCTCCTTTTCAGACCTGTATAGAGACGCCTTCATAGTCGTTTATAGAGACCAGTTCGAATCGTCTATAGAGACCACTTCACATCGTCTATAGAGATTTGGCTATGATCTCCTTTTCAATCGTCTATAAAGAATGCTTTTAACTAGTTTCCTAGTTTTTAGCACTCTTTGAAGACTCTTCTTTGGACGTCTATAGAGGCTCCTTTTCATTCGTCTATAAAGGCTACTCTTAAGCGGTATATAGGGATTCCTTTACATACGTCTATAGATAGAGTTTCACTGTCGTTTATAGAGCCTAGTTTCCAGAATTCTGTAGCGATTCTTTTTATGGCTCCTCTTCAGTCATATGCATACACTTTATAGAAAACTTTTCACTTGTCTATACAGAGACCTTTTTCACTCATCTTCTCATTTAGACTCCCATTTAGTAGCATATAGACTCTTTTTCAGTGTCTATGGAGACACTTTTTCCGCCTACAGTAAGGCGACCAGATTTTGAAAATGAAAATAGATTACAAAAAGAAAAATGTATAGTTTTCTAAATATATAAACTGAGTTAAAAGTCGTTAATTACGATCAATTTTTTTGTCCTAAGCGAATAGTCTTGGGATCTTTTTATATGTGGAACATAGCAAATGTCGTCTATGTTTTCCAAGTATATTTTCCAAAATGAAAAGCTGGGTTTTTTATATTTGGGACATCTAGAAACATAGAACCCAAAATATCAAATTGCAGCTAATTCGGTTGCAATACGTGTCCATATTTCACTGAAATTTATTAATTTATTTTAGTTTAGAAAAATAAGTATTGATCGAGGTATTAAAAATATAGATGACAAAGATACACCACTGATTATAGTATAGATGACAGATAGAGGACCTAAATTTTATGGATGACAGCCAGTTAAAATATATGATTGTCCTCTAAAAAAGAAGACGTATGGTCACCTTACCTACTCCTCCTTTTAGTCATCCATAGAGCCTCCGTTTTCAGTTGTCCATAAGTACTCCCTAGTCTACCTTATTCTTTTGTTTCACAAGTTTTCTTTGCTGGCTGACTTTTTATCTACTGGCTGATAAATTAAATTTCAAAGCTGCACTCAATCACTTAGAGAAAACCTAAATGATTAATGGTGGGGTTTCTAATCAGTTTTATTAACTCTTGTACTCTATACTATACTATATACTCTATATATAGAGGATATAACCACATAACCACACAAATATTAAAAAACTCTGTTTTTACCCTACAACTAATTACATAAATCCTATTGATGCTGACTGCGTGCCAGCATGACTGGTCAAAACCGTGCAACCAACCAGACAGCCATGAACAACATAAACACACATTGTGTGCGGTGTTCTCAACATTGAAACACACAACACAGTTCATGTTTCAAATGAATGCAGGCAGGCAGCATGTGCATGGATGATGTGTGTGTGTTTTTTTTTTCTTCTGTTAGCAGGTTTACAGGGTCGGTCAGTCGCTTGATGGCAAGAAATAATTAAAATTCAAAACACAAACACATGCATAAAAAACACAATTATTTTTTGGGGAGTTGTGTTTTTGGTACGTATTGTACATTTGGACTGTCGATATATAATGAAAGTCAAATGTTACTTAAATTGGCTTAAAGCCAATAAATACAATGATAGCAAACAACAAAAACAGAGTCATACCAATTTTTTTCTCCAAAAATTAGTAAAAAAAATGGAAGAAGAAGCAGTAGCATGGAAGCAGCTGGCTTCTCTTTTTTGTTAATTACATAAAAAACAATAACAAGAAATAATTAAATATTCAAAACACAAACACATGCATAAAACGCAACACAATTATTTTTTGGGGAGTTGTGTTTTTTTTTGGGGGACACATACAGCCACCATTTGGCGTGGCTTAAAAAATGCCAACCACACTTGAAAGAGAAATTTTGAAAAAACCATGCTCGAACAAAGCAAGTCTTTTGTGTCGTTTGCATTTTTTGTTGGTTTGTTTGGCTTGGCCTTTTTCTTTTTTTCAGATGAAAACCTCGTTTTGGAGCATCATTGGCCTCTCAATTCCTTTTTTTATACATTTTTTAAAGGTTATCTTTTGTTCCTTCCATCCGTTTTTGTTTTACACACTCCTCAACAAACAACATATTTATTTTGTAATACTTTACTACGCACCTTTTTGTTTTCCTTTTTGGTATTTATTTTATTTTCGGTTTTAGTATTTTCTTGCTTTAATTCCACACTGCTTGCTGCTGCAGCTTTCACACCACCGATATTTTTTCAATATTGTTTTGTTGCTGTCTTTTATTTACTGATGGAGGTTGGTTGCTTGATTTTTTGCTTTTCGTAAATTTCGTTTTGAGTTTTCTTGTTCTTTTCAGAGTTTGTTGCGTTGTCACTTTTTCGTTTCTTTTTTAGCTCTCGTTTTTTTAATTTAATCCAACTCTCTCTTTTACAATTCAAAAAACATCAGCAACAACAACAATAATGTTAATAATGGCTGGCTCTCTCTGAAAGTGTTGGTGTTGTTTGCTTTGCGGAGAATTTGCACAACGAATGCACACACACACACACTATACGACAAACAGACTGACATACACGATTGCCAACGGCTGAAGAAATTGATTTTTCTTTTTAAAATTCGACTTCTTTTGCTTGGAAATTATTTGGAAAATCAAGAATTTCCCAAAAGTAGTTAAGGCGAAAAATATCTGCAAATAAAATATAGATTAAAACAATTTAATTTAAATATTTATTTCTTGCAAAAAAGCCATTTTCTTTACTTGCTCGCTCGTCTCGCTCTCTTACCTTTTTGCTTTCGCTTCGCTCGCTGGCTGTTGGCTGGCTTACCGAAACAAATTGCAGTTTTTTGCCGTCGTCGTCTGCCGTTTAACGAATTGGAAATCTTTTCGTTTTTTCTTCTTTAAAATCTATAGATTTCTAGTTTTTGCATGCATTTCCAGCAAGATCATTAATTATTTCAATAAATATACACGTTTTTGCTTGCCAAATATTGCTTTAAAACGAGATTTTATTGGAAATTATCACAATTTGATGTTCACCCAAAAAAACCTCTGCACACACAGCCTATGTTTTAGGGATACTTAGATCGAGGTTTGTCGTTATCGTGAAGAATGATAATAATCGATTTTTGCATCTATCAAAAAGGTTGCACGAGGTGCTAGGCTCATTAGTGATGCCATATTTACATAGTCCCAATACTTGCGGCAAGTCTTTGTTACCTGGATAAGAATTCATAAATTGTTAGACGGTGTTTGCATATGGTGTACGGTCCCATTCCTTCTATTTTAATAGAAAGTGAATTTTCACAATCCTCCCTAGATACCAATTTTTTTCTCATTAAAGGAATTACGCAATGCAAGAAAAAGATAATAATCGTTTGGTGCCAAGTCCGGACTGTATGGCGCTTGCGCTTTAAAACTTCCCAACCAAGCTACTGAAGTTTCTGGCGAGTCACTGTAGATGTGTGTGGCCTAGGGTTGTCCTGGTGGAACACGACACCTCTGCATTTGGCCAATCCTGGCCGTTTCTGGTCAATTGCTATCTTCAAACGGTCCTGTTGTTGACAGTAGAGATCAGAATTTAGCGTTTGGCCGTATGGAAGCATCTCATAATAAATAATCCCCTTCCAGTTATCCATTTCTCATCCGCAGTTACCATCCGTTTATCTCATTCCGTTTGGCCAAGGCTTCGCAGATGGAAATTCGATCCTATCCTCCTATCATCGTATTTTTTTCTGTTAGCTGGCACCCAAACATCGAGCTCCTGGGCGATGCCGGTCAACTTCCATAATTTCTACGATTTTATCGACATTTTCGACGACGATGGATGTATTTTTCCCCAACCGAATATATTTGACCAGTTCCCGTACAGCAAGAATCTACTATTTTTTTAAATTTTTGTCGATATCATAAAGGAAAAATTTTTATCGTAAAAAAACTAGGAGATTCTTGCACTACGGGAACAGACCATTTTTCTCAACTTATTTATGATCGGAAGGTTCAATCCACAGGAAAAATATGTTCCTTGAGAATCCAATTCCTTTCGTAAATTTATGATTTGGCTGTATATTACATGTCTAGTCTGTTCCCGTACTGCAAGAATCTACGATTTTTTACTGCGATAACGCTTTTTTCCTCGTTTTACAAATGTCCGCCCGTCCGTCTGTCTTTCTAGCCGGCTGGTGCGCACGATAACCCTCGAAGGGAGTAACCGATTTAATCCAAACTGTGCATATCTTAATATTTCTTCCAAATTTAGTTCAAGTTCGAAGATGGGGAATATCTGTCCACTCCTTCTGGTACCTCCTCTACAAAATGTTCAAAATTGTGGAAAAAAATAATCTTATAATATCATGCGAACGAAATATCCGATTTGAACCAAACTTTGTACAACCTCTTATCTTTGCCAAGCCTAGGTCAAGTCCGAATTTGGGACCCATTGGTCTACTCCATCTGCTACCTCCCCCACAAATGTTCAAAATTGTCAATATTTATAAAGCAAGCGAATGGAATGTCCGATGTGAAACAAACTTTGCACAACTTATTATCATTACCAAACCCAGATCAAGTCCGAAGGTGGCACCCATTGGTCCGCTCCTTCTGGTACCTCATTGGATTTATAAACATTTTCAATATTTATAAATCCAATATCAGGTGAATGGAATGTCCGATTTGAACCAAACTTTGCACAACCTATTATTACCAAGCCCAGATCAAGTCCGAAGATAGCACCCATTGGTCCCCTCTTTCTGGTACCTCCCCCAAAAAGCGTCAATATGTTATAAGCTTGTAAATTCCATTTTAAGCGAATAAAATAACCGATTTAATCAACATTAAATCCGAAACATAGTTTATATAAAGCGAATAAAATAAACCTGTGTGTAATTTCGTAAACCTCCGCAAATTATAGGCTGAGGGTATTTATAGGTCGGCAACACCAACTTACACTCTGTTTAAGTTTTGATACGATTAATTGCAAATTTAAAGCATTTTGGCAGCTCGGATGAAAACAACTGGTCCTATCGTTCGATCTTGGAATTGGAACATGAGTTCCAATTAAGTAAGATACGATACGTAAGATAAGCAGGGCTCCTTATAGCCGATCATAAATCAATTTTTTTACCTATTAATTCGATTACAATCAACCAGAAGTTATTTTAGGCTGAATAAAATATGAACGTGCCTATATTCGCACTTTGGACATACAAACTCCTAATCTTGATTGGAAATTATGAATTTTGATAGAATCTTAAGTGATTATATTTCCCCTTACCACCACGACTTTGAGGATTCTAAAATATTAATAAGTTACAAAGTGTCCCGGGCAGACGGGTTTCCTCTTCTATGCAGATGGTTCGACGATGGCAGATGTGCGGGAGTTTTTCGTATTGAATTTCAAATATTCATAAATCTTCAACTTCTTGATTTATTAATTCGAAATCAAGCAACCAGATGTAATTTTAGACTGAAGGAGATTCGGCGATCTTTGAGCACTTTGAACATCCTAATCTTGACTGGAAATTATGAATTTTATTTTTATAGAATCTAAAGAGTTTATATTTCCCATTATCTCGTCTTTGAGGATTTTAAAACAGTAGTCCCTGGCGGACGGGCTTCCCCTTCTAGACAGTCTCTTTATATTAGCAGATGGTTCGAAGATGGAAAATGGCACAGATGCAATAATAAGAAAATCCTACGAAAATTGTATCATTTTTCAAGCAAACATTTTAGCAATTATGAAATCAGCAAAATTAGTCAAGAAGCTATGTAATAGTAACTCAGGACCGGTGATTATATATGTCGATAGTTAAGAGGCCCTAAAGCAATCGAGACATGGACTACAAACTCTAGAGTTGTTCATAATTGTAATGCAACTTTACGATTGGTTTGACTTTGTTGGGTTCCAGGGCATAAGGACATAAAGGAAATTAAATAGCTCCTTCACTTTCGTGTATAGAGACTATTTTTCAGTCGTCTATAGATAATTATTTGCAGTTGTTTATAAAAACTCATTTCAGTCTTTTATAGACTCCTTTTCAGTATTTTATAGACTCCTCTTCAGTCGTCTATAGAGACTCCTTTTCAGTCGTCTATAGATAATCCTGTTTAGTCGTATATAAGGACTCTTTTTCAGTCGTCTATAAAGACTCCTTTTATGCCGTCTATAAATACACCTTTCCAGTCGTCGATAAAGACTCATTTTCAGTCGTTTATTGAGAATCCTTTACAGTCGTCTATAAGGACTTATTTTCAGTCGTTTATAGACTCCTTTTTGTCGTATATAAAGACTCCTTTTAATTCGTTCAAGGAGACTCCTTATCAGTCGTATATTAAGACTCCTTTCTGTCGTCTATTGCGACGCATTTTCAGTCGTATTTCGAGGCTCATTTCCAATCGTCTTAAGACTCCTTTCAGTCTTTGCATTATACTAAATACTTTTTATACCTTTCAGTCTTCTATAAAAACTCCTTTTTGGTTTTATTTATATGAACATATATATGTATGTGTTTATTTGTTTTTATAAGACAAAATGATTAATTGATTCAATTGCATGGTGGTATGCTATTATATATAATAAATTTTATGTGAGTGTTTTTGTTTGCTTTTTTTCTCAGTCTCAGATGGAAAGAGATTTACAATTAACAAGTTCGTTTTTTTCTGAAGCAATAAGGATAAGGGGCGGGGGAACCATATTCCCATTGACAAAGAAAATCAAGAGTTAACTAAAAAAACATATGAATATAATATAAACGCAAGCATTTTATTTGTAAAGCTGCTAACTATTCTTTTTTCTCAGCTGCTTGATCTGCGGGTTCGTCTTTCTTAACCTCTGCCGCCTCCTTGCCCTTGGAACTGGTGGGCGAAGACATTGTGGCACCGGCGGGCAGGGCTTTTTCCAAAGCTTTTACAAAATCTTCCAAATTGCCAGAATATGCTGCAGCCACAGCCTCGGGTGTCAATTCAAACTGTGACACAACGGGACCCAGCTGAGCCGATTGCAAGGCATTGGAAAACAACGACAATGCTTGCTGGAATTGTGGTGAGGCAATTGTGTCTTTAATTTGCTGCTTCTTATTCTCATCAGCATCCTCAGATTCGGGCAGGTGAACCGACAAGGTGTTGACACGTTCCGGATCCGATATCAATTCATTGATGGCCTCAGAACCAGCCAAAGCCGATGTTAGATCAATGTTAAGGGAACGACCAGCGCCAGCTTCGGGTGAAAGATTTGATAAGAAGGATTGGAATGCATTGGTGGGTGTTACAGCAGAATTTGAAGATTTCTTACCACCAGTGGCGGCACCACCATCCGAGGTGCTGCCTGTGCCAGAGCTGCTGCTCTTGTTGCCTTTAGCTTTGGGGGCTGAGGGAGTGCGGGGAGCCGAAGAGTTCTCGGGTGTAACAAGACCAGCGGCACTGGAGCTGCTATTGCGATTTGATGATGGTGTACGAGTGCTGTCCGAGGAGCGACTAAAAAGGGGAAAATCAATTAAATTTTTTCAATTAATAGAAAGTCACACAAGAAATACTCACTTCATGGAACCCAGTAAAGAACTCAGACCACCCATTTGACCAACACCACCAAACAATTGCATCAACTGTTGTTGCGACATATTGTTCAGCATATACTGCAAATCACCACCATCTTGGCCACCACCACGCGAAGCCGATGGTGGATTATTCATCAATTCATTGACACGACGGCAATGCTCCTCATCCTTATCAGTTTTGGGTTCCTGCATCCAGAAGAACATGCGCCTAGAGCTGGACTTGAATTTCAAGACATACACACGACCGGTTTTGCATTGTTCGACGCGTTTGAATTCAAAATCATCGGGGAATACAATTAAATCATCTTCGACCTATTAATACACAAATAAATGCATTATTTTCGAATAATACTTATGGGGAAAATATAAATCACCTTTCCTGTGGTACGATCCTTCCAGCAGAAATGCATTAAACCATCTTCACTTTGTGTTAAATACACCAAACCTTTGCGTGTATCGGGATGCACCATTTTACCAATTAAATTCATTCTTCCGGCACGAAACTCAACCAGATTTGAACCATTGGACGAACCACTTCCAAGACTTTGACGACCAAACATTTTTACAGTACTCTGTTTTTTTCGATTTCTATAAAAAACTATTATTTAAAATCATTTAGTAATATTTTTTGGATTTTTTTTAAATAGAAGTCAATTTGTACCTTGAAATATGTGAAATCACTGATTTTCCTTGCAAATTGAATGACGAGCAAAATTTTTCTGTCATTAAACCACCAATCGAGTAATCATTTGGTGTCATTGTTTAAATGGGTAACCAGTTATGGGTAAGTAACAACAAAGGTAGTGCCTTAAATGAAAGCGTCTGGCGATTGTCAAAAATATTAAGGGTGATGATAAAATTACATTTCTGTCAATTCAATGAGGTTAACGACAAAAGGGCATGGTACAATTATATAAGGTAACAGCAAATCCCAGCTGATTTGATTCCGACGTGATACTAGTGTCAATATGAATTTGACAAATTATGTTTTTAAAAATCACCCAACAGGAAAATTGGGAACGCATACAATTTGAAATTGTTCTTTATTAAATATGCTCCCGTATTCAATTTACTCAATCTGCCTGCTGGGAAAGTTTCAGGAAGCAAATCTTTCTTCAAGAAATAACTCGCTATTCCCGGCATTTTCATATGTGTTACACATATATGTGGCAATGGCTCAATTATAGGAAAGATGTGGAAGCGATAGAAATATAACTTTGAAAGATTTTCATTCATGTTTTTCAATTTTTATTTTGAGGATTCGAAAATATTTCATTTTCAAAATAAAAATAATTTGATGATAATTTGTTTGTTTGTTTACATTTTTCTGTCAAATGAGTTGACACTAGTAGAACTTACAACAACAAATTTCCATGTGGTTGTTGTATCGTTTTTTGTACAACAACACTTGCTGTTACCTTCTATTATTATACCATGACAAAAGGGAAATATTCAAATATGGGACAAGAGGAGCCTTTAAAGATGAATAAGGAAATATTTGTAGAAGAAAATACGTTACCGTAGGCAGCTAAAAATGAGTCCCTATAGGCGACTGAAAAGCATTCTATAAAGGCGACAGAAAATGAGTCTTTATAGACAACTGAAAAGGAGTCTCTAAAATGAGTATTTATAGACGACGAAAAAAGATTATCAAATAAGGGCAGTAACAGAGTATCTATGGCAAATGAAAGGAAGTCGTTTTGGACAATTTGGACCAATTTGATCCGAAAAACAAATAAATTCTCAATTTCGTCCGATGGTTGACCTTCAGTCCATTTTCATGTTAATAATTTAGGATAATACGGTTTGAATCTGATCTTGTTCCCTTTTTACGTACATTTTGTTCCCAAGTTTTGTTCAAGCGGCTTCATTGACTCTGTAGAACTGAAAAGCAATTTCAATAGACGACTGAAAATGTATCTCTTTTGAAGACTGAAAAAAGGCATCTCTCTTGGCAACTGAAAACGAGAGCCTATTAAAGAAGGAAAGGAAGTTTTTATAGATGACTGAAAAGAAGTCTTTATACACAACGGAAAGAAAGTCTACATCCGAAAATTATATACATTTTAAATTTGGTCCGATAGTTTGCAATTTCGGATTCTGATTTTGGTCCCTACTTTTCCAAACATAAACCGTAGAACTGAAAAGCAATTTCTGTAGACGACTAATAAGGTGTCTTCATAGACGACTGAAATTTATTGGCGCCCAAATGGACATCTTCACAAACGATTAAAATAAAAATGAAATATAGTAAAAATTATCACTTCTAGAGGGCATGTAGAACTATTGCCGATGTCAGTTGTACAGGACCATATTCTTTTTATGAAATTTTGCATGACCAAATCGCAAAGTGACTGTCGTATATATTTTTATATCGACGCTGGGATGTTGTCATAGAATTTATATTTTTAGGTTCTCTTGGGACTTCGGGGGTCGTACGATGGAGCTCATTATGTTCATTGGTCACTACCGTCGTCTCTGTTGGGAAGAATGGTCTTACACCGAAGCTAGCGGCGGCAGTATTGACGATTCTACGGAAATTTCTCTCAGCTACCCGAGGATCTAAAGGAATGGGCAGATTTCTGAAGGTGTGAATGGTAAAGTCTGAAACCACGGCATTGATTGAGCCGAGTGAAATTACGTCTTGCCAGTTTACGACTTTTATCGGGTCACTATAGAGATGCCTGGCTAACTGTGGCAGATTCATCTTATCCTCGTGTGGGCATCCTCATTAACCGTGCAAAATGTTGAGCTATCAATTTGCTCAGCCAGTGATGTACCCTCTGCTCATTACCTAGAATGGAATGACATAAATCATGGTGGGCATAGAAATCCACTAGTATCATTACCTAGCTTGTACATTCTTAAAGCAGACTGATATTCGGTAAATCTACTCTAGCTCAAGGGAAATAGGACTGTAGTTGACAGAATGGTGTAAAAAGAATACATGTCACCCATCTCCTGGGTCGTACACAACTACAACTCAAAAACTCCACAATTCCACTGATGCTGAACAGCAATAAGTGGTGCTAATGTTGCGTGTTTTGCTGTTGAAGAGACTGCGGGGGCGTCTCGTATACCAACGATTCCTGACATAGGTTAGGAAGGTACGGTTGTTAGTAACAATCGTCCACTCAGAGACTAATGTCCATTGTGATCATCCTTTTTACATGCAAAGAGAAAGAGAAGAGAGTGAAAAGCAAGAAAAATACAGTGAGAGAATGAGAGCGGAGAGATCGTTATTTTAGCCATGTCAGATTTTTAACAAAGCCTAGGATCTGGTTGGGGTCTATTTTAGAGAAGAATTCTATTTATGTCTTCTGTCAATCAGCGATGGACATTTACAGAGGATAATATCAATTGTTTCTCGCTCTTCTTCGTATTCACATAGAAGACAGTAATCCTCTCCGCCGGATATGTTTCTAATTCCCTACAGTAAAAGCCTGTTCCAGTGCCTTCCTCCATCTTTGACCCGTCTGTAAAGAATGACAGACCTGGCAAAGGTAAGGAGCCGCTAGTCCAGGATTCCCTACTAGGAAACACTACTTTGATGCCATTAAAGATTCTGTGTTAGGGAACATAGTCACTAATGTGACTATGATGTCACAACCTGGCGTTATGTTTATGATACTAGCGTGAACATAGTTCATCGATTTCCAGGCATCCGTTTCCCGGAGCCTCAGAGCACATCTGGGCGATTGGAATTTAATCAGAATGTCCAATGGTTGGAGATTCAAGATCGCATTCAAGGCTGTCTGTGGTGTACTTCTTAGCGCTCCGGTGATCAGGATTGAAGCCGACTAAATTTAATTTTGTCAGCAGTATCTTTTTGTTGACCCCCTGCCACCAAACAAGGCAACCATATGTAAGAATGGAGAGAACGATCTCACATACAGCCAGTATATGATCTCCGGTCTTAGTCCCCAGCTCTTACCTATGGAGTTTTTCCATGAACAGTCCTTTCTTAGAGCGTTCCCCAACATTCCACATTAATTTTCGGTCAAGCATAGTAACGTATGACTCGGCTTCCCAACTTTCGGGATGAAGGTCTCTGTTACCTCTTTCCATAGATATAGTAGACAAGCCCTAAAAAGGTCTTGCAGAGAGGATAATACTCGCTCATCTGCGTGTTGCAGAATGGCGGGTATTATACCACATGGGCCAGGGGATATGTAGGATTGAAAACTATTTATTGCCCATACCAGTTTTGGGTAGCTTATAGTATTTTCTATCAGCTTCTGCTTCTCTCTCGTTCGAACCATAGGCTGATGCGCACACTCCCATCAAGAGTATCACTGCCAGGGTTTGTCCACGTTCCATCACTTCGCCTAATACTACCTATAGATTTTGGATATTTAGATAGTACTCTGCGAAATCTGACCGCTTTGTTGACTCCTTCGATTGACTCACTATAGCAGACCCAAAAATCACCTTCTAGCCTTCTTGATTTCGCTCCTGTACCTATGGAACTGTTCTCTATAAACGTCCCAATCTGTACTGAGTTTTGTCTTACTAGCTCTATTGTATGCTTTCCTTGCAGCCTTCCTAAAAGATGCAAGGTTTCGTGACCATCATACCGGCTGAGATTTTTTTCCCACAGTATGTTAGGGGACATGAAGTCTTATAGCTCTTCAGAAGAGTAACCGTAACATTGTTCACAGCACGATTCCTGAGATACTCTAGCGCAGAATGAATCGACATAACTTTTTTCGCAGTACTCCTGAATCCGGTTTAGTCCAGAGCAACCTCGTCCATTATTTAAATCCATTGCATATCACTGAGATGGACCTATGATGGATGCGGTTGTGACAAACACTACAAAACTGTCTCGTATTGCAACGACGATGATTTCTGAGAGTCGACATAACTCTTTCGCAGTATTCCTGGATTCGGTTTAGTTCAGAGCAACCTTGAACATGGACAAACAGGACTGTTCATGGAAGAACTCCATAGGTAAGAGCTGGGAACTAAGACCGGAGATCATACACTGGCTGTATGTGATATCGTTCTCTCCATTCTTACATATGGTTGCCTTGTTTGGTGACAGGGGGTCAACAAAAAGATACTGCTGACAAAATTAAATTTAGTCGGCTTCAATACTGATCCCTGGACAAACATAACGCACACGTGCATGTATTTATTGAGATAACAGCCTCTGGTTGGAGTCCTTAGAGTTAATCCGGCACATTCTCTACATCCAATGCATCTCGCCGAGATGAATCTATGGTGGATGCGGTTTTGACAAACACTACAGTACTAAGGTTTTTTTCCAATCCCGGTACGGGGTAAGGTTCGGAACAAACATTCCGGGATATAATGCCGCCCCTGGAAAAAAACGCACACGTGTATGTGTTTTCGTTGAGGTGGCAGTCTCTGGTCGGTGTCCTTCTCCGAGTCAATCTGGTACATAGAACCAGCTGCAGTGGGACAGCTCACCACTGTTGTGGCTCCTGATGATAAATCAAATCTTAGTGATGTGGTTGTGGTGGTTGTGCTGATAAGTGACAAACTTCTACCAACAATAACCGATAATATGCAAAACTCTTTTGTAATACAATAA